TCAAGTGGTAGAGCGCTAACCTTGAGCTGAAGAGCTGAGGGACAGTGCCCAGGCCCAGAGTTCAGGCCCCACGACCGGACCCCCCCCCAAAAAAAAAAGTGAGCAGGGCTGGGAATGTGGCCTAATGGTAGAGTGCTGCTTGCCTCACATGCATGAAGTGCTGGGTTCGATTTCTCAGTACCACATAAACATAAAAGGCCAGACGTGGCACTGTGGTTCAAGTGGTAGAGGGCTAGCCTTGAGCAAATGAAGCTCAGGGACAGTGCCCAGGCCCTGAGTTCAGTCCCCAGGACTGGCCAAAAAAAAAGTGAGAGCAAAGGCTGGGCACTGGTGGCTCATGCCTATAATCTTAGCTATTCAAGAGGCTGAGATCTGAGGATCACAATTCAAACAAAGCCAGCCCAGGCTGAAAAGTCTGTGAAACTCTGTGGCTGAAGTGGTAGAGCTCTAGCCTTGAACAAAAGAGCTCAGAGATAGCACCCAGATTCTGAGTTCAGGCCCCACAACTAACAAAAAAGTGAGAGCAAATGTGAATAACAAGTACTCCTTCCCAAATTTTTATTTTCTGTTTATTTCTCCTTGTCCAAGTTTCACACAATATACTGATCATTTCTTTTTTTTTTTTTACCAGTCCTGGGGACTGTCTCTGTGCTGCTTTTCCTCAAGGTGCACTCTACCACTTGAGCCACAGTGCTACTTGTGGCCTTTTCTGTGTATGTGGTACTGAGGAATCAAACCCAGGGCTTCCTGCAGGCTAGGCAAGCACTCTACCACTAAGCCACATTCCCAGGCCAAGATAATCATTTCTTTTCAACAAAATTCTCTACTTTTTTTGGAGGGGGACAGTACTAGGGTTTGAACTCGGGACCTTACACTTATTTGATTGGCACTCTGCCACTTAAGCCATGCCTCCAGCCCTACTTTTTGCTAGCTGTTTTGGATACAGAGTCTGGCCAGTTTTTCTGCCCTGTTTATGACCTAACCTTGAGCTATAATTTTTGGATCTCAGCCTCCTGAGTAGCTAGGATTACAAGGTTGCACCAACAGTGCCAGAATTATTTTTTAATGCCAGTTCTGGAGCTTGACCTCAGAGCCTGGGCTTAGTTTTTGTGTTCAAGGCTAGTGTTCTGCTACTTGAGCCACAGCTACACTTCTGGATTTTTTTCTTTTTTTGATAGTTAATTGGAGATAAGATTTGTCTGTTCAGATTGATTTTTTTCACTGCTATCCTCAGGTCTCAGCCTTCTGAACAGGCACAAGCCTGTAATTTTTAAAGTATTATTGAGGTAAAATTATATAACTCCCCATTTTAGCCACTTTGAAGTGTATGATTGAGTGTTTTAATGTACATACACAGTACAATATCTTTACAATAAAAAATATATATTTAAAAAGTGCATGCACAGTATTCTGCATCTATTAATTTCAAAACATTTTTATGACTCAAAGGAAATCTATACCCAATTACATGATCACTCCCTGTTCCCCTGCTTCAAAACTACACAACCCTTAATCTGCTTTCTACCTCTATTAATTCATCGGTTAGCCATTTCATGAAAACTAAATCATTTAATATGTGACACTGTCTACAGGCTTTCCTCAGCATGTTTTCAAGGTTCAACCATATTAGAACTTGCATCAGCATTTTGGGGGTTTATGGCTATATTATATTTCAATGAATGGAATTACATATATCACATTTAGTTTACTGGTGGATAATGTTTTTTTGTTATTTTGTCAGTAGTGGGGCTTTGACTCAGGGCCTGGGCACTGTCCCTGGGCTTTTTTGCTTAAAGCTAGCACTCTACCACTTAAGTCACAACTCCACTTCGGGTTTGGTTAATTAGAGACAAGAGTCTCATGGACTTTCCTGCCCAGGTTGGATTCAAATCATGATCCTCAGGTCTCAGCCTTCTGAGTAGCTAGTATTACAGGTGTGAGCCATCTGGCCCAGGTAATGTTCTTTTTTGCCAGTCCTGGGCTTGAACTCAGGACCCTGGGCACTGTCCCTGAGCTTCTTTTGCTCAAGGCTAGCACTCTACCACTTGAGCCACAGTGCCACTTGTGGCCTTTTCTGTGTATGTGATACAGAAGAATCAAATCCAAGGCTTTATGCATGTGAGGCAAGCACTCTACCACTAGGCCACATTCCCAGCCCAGGTATATACTTACAAATCCCATCTATAATCCCAACCTTTGTCAGGGAGAGCCAAAAGGTCTTGAAGTTTAAGGCTAGGCTGAGTACATAGCTAGATCCTGTCTCAGTCTGACCCTACAAAATGAACCGACCTAAGGAGGAAGCAACAATGCTCAATAGGAAATGTACTCATTACCTTGCTCATGTAACTGTAGCCCCTCTGTACAACATTTTTACAATAAAAAACATACAAAAAATGAACTGGCCTCTAAAGCAAATTATTCTCAACTATGGCAGCTATAAACTTGATTATTTGCATTTCTCTAAATGCCCTAAACTCAATTCTGGTTATATATTTAAATTACATGTTACTCCAAAGAGCTCCCTTCCCATAGCTTAGTATGCTCATTCCCCTTTCCACAGCTTAGCATGCTTCCTTGTTAGGCAAATGCTAGGCCCATGTAATAAAGGCAGTAAATAATCAGCTGCCAACCCCCTTTACCTTGGAATGGCACTTCTCTGGGGCAGCTACCACCATATAAGGCAACAAGGGCCCCTTATCTACTATTTGGACGACAGCCATAAATCCTAGTCCACCATGATGAAGCCCCTGGCCCACCCGTCCACACGAGAGTCTCCACCTCCTAGCCCCTTCTAGCCCCTCCTAAACTTCCTAGGTTATATAGGTCACCTCAGACAATAGCCAGCGCTTCTTCTCACTTCTCCCTTGTGAGAAGGGGTCTTGCTGGCCCCTTTCCCAGCAATAAACCTTTCTTTGTTCTCTGTACCTGGATGTCTACACGGTTTTCTGGTGAAGTCCAAATAATAACATTACATGTCAATAATTTTGGGCTTTTGGTAAGTAAATCACACTTCTGGTTAGCTATATGACCTTGAATAAGCAGTTTAGCTCCACTCATTTTCTCATTTGCTCAAGGGTTTAATAATCATACCAACGGTGTAATGTTAAACTAAATGACTAGATTGCAGACATTGAGTAGCATGTAGACTAGACAGTAAATGTCAGCTGTTACCACATTTTAAGAGTTTTTAACTTATCTCTGGTTCTCTTTTAGAATTCATAATGCCCTTAAAGGAATTCCAGATGACCGAGATGGGCTATTTGACACAATCCAGCGTTCTAAGAATCATTATCAAAAAAGAGCATACCAGTGTATAAAATGTATGGTAGCTCTCTTTAGCAATTGTCCTGTCGCTTACCAAATCCTACAGGTGAGAGGTTTTTCCTTACAGTTTGTTAGAAACCTGAATCAGAATGAAAAATTCTGATTTAAGAGACTCCTGAGAATATGGGGATTCTCTCATTAAGTTACCTTTGAAGTATTCCAAATCCTCTTACTTATAGGATCTTATTTTCTTTTGAAGGGCAATGGAGATCTTAAGAGGAAGTGGACCTGGGCAGTAGAATGGCTTGGAGATGAACTTGAAAGAAGACCATACACGGGCAATCCTCAATATACTTACAACAATTGGTCTCCCCCAGTGCAAAGCAATGAAACATCAAATGGCTATTTCTTGGAGAGATCACATAGCGCTAGGATGACTCTTGCTAAAGCTTGTGAACTCTGTCCAGAGGAGGTAAAAAACGCCACCAGTGTGCAACAGATAGAAATGGAAGAAAGCAAAGTAATTCTTTTATTTTATAGGCCAGTGCTTATGTTAATGTAGAAGGGGGTTATATTGCTTTATAAAGTTTTGTTTAAGTTAATGTGGGGACCTTCTGGAGAAATTTCCATTAACCTAAGAGATAATTTCTAAGAAAAACTAAATGAGAAATTTTTAGTTGCTTTAATTGTTCTAGTTGTTTTTTTCAGTAAAAGAATTTGTTAATAGGTTATATTTGTAGATTGATTTTTAAAGTGTAGTTTAATTAGAAAAGGTAAAAAATGAGTTTAATTTTGCCCATTTAATTTTATTTCCTTAAATATTTAATACATTAGGAGCCAGATGACCAAGATGCCCCAGACGAGCATGAATCACCTCCACCTGAAGATGCCCCATTATATCCCCATTCACCTGGATCTCAATATCAGCAGGTAAACAAGTCCATGCTTAATTTTAAAGGGTGGTCAAGCTTTTAACTATGACTGAAGTAATGAAATTATAGACTAGCTTTAGAATCAAAAGCAGGAATGGTTAGGATGAGTTTGTGGTGCAAGATTGGATTTGCACTGGTAGTTTCCTTGTCAAGTAGGTGTGTTCTCTAGTGCTGGCAGTTGGTAAAACTGATGATTCACTAAGGTATAGTAATAAATTAAGAATTCTTTGAAGCTATGCACCAGTGGCTCATGCCTATAATCCTAGCTACTCAATAGTCTGGGATCTATGGAAGTTCTGAACCAGCACAGGCAGACAAGTCCATGAGACTGTTAATCTCCAATTAACCAACAAAAAAGCTGGAATTGGGAGAGTGGTTCAAGTAATAGAATGCCAGCCTTGAGTGAAAAGTCTCAAGTGTGAGCCTGAAGTCCTAAGTTCAAGCCCCAGTACCAGCAAAAAAAAATAAATACTTTGAGATAAATACAGATGGCTGTCACCTTACAATCCTAGCTACTCAGGAGGCAGAGATCGGAGGGTTGAGGTTTAAAGCCAGCCCAAGCAGACAAATTCTAAAGACTTACCTCCAATTAACTGGCAAAAAAAAAAGTGTGCAGCCAGGCACCAGCAGCCTACGCCTGTAATCCTATCTACTCTGGAGGGTAAGTTCTGAGGATCACTGTTGGAAGCTAGCCCAGGCAGAAAAGTCCCTGAGAGATTCTTACCTCCAATAAAATACTCAAAAAAGTTGAAAGTGACATTGTGGCTCAAGTGGTAGAGCCTTGAGCACAAAGAGACTAGGGACAGCACCCAGGTCCTGAGTTCAAGCCCCAGGACAGACACAAAATATGCAGAGCCCTGATGATGATATTCATCATCCTCCAACAGTTTGACATACATTATTTAAAGCATTCTTTCTTAGGTTTCACGGTTTTTATAAACAAAAACATACTGAATGATTATACTTAGTCAACATACTTATTTTTAGAGTACCATTTAGAAAATTAAGCGTAGGGCTGGAAAGGTGGCTCAGTGGTAGAGCGCTTGCCTTGCATGCCATGAGGCCCTGGGTTCAATTCCTGAACACCACATAAGCAAAAAAGAAAAAACCAGAAGTGGCGCTGTGGCTCAAATGGTAGAGTGCTAGCCTTGAGCTGAAGAGCTGAAGGACAGTGTCCAGGCCCAGAGTTAGGCCCCACGACTGGACCAAAAGAAAAAAAAAAAGAAAATTAAGCCTAACATTTGACTTGACTTGTGGAGATATACAGAGCACCGTATAGGATTTAGGCATTTTAAAAGGCTAAAGAGCCTGGGGCCAGTGACTACTCATGCCTATTATCCTAAAAACTCAAGAAGCTGAGATCTGAAGATTGCAGTTCAAAGCCAGCCCAGGTAGGAAAGTCCATTAGACTCATCTCCAATAAAACTATCCAAAAAGCTGGAAGTGAAGCGGTGGCTCAAAGTGGTAGAGCGCTAGCTTTGAGCATAAGAGCTCAAAGACACCACCCAAGTCCTGAGTTCAAGGCCCATGACCATCCAAAAAAGAAGAAAAGAAGCTAAGGGACAGCACCCAGGCCCTGAATTCAAACCCCAGGACTGTCAAAAATAAAAGTCAAAGGCTAAAGAACAAACTCCACAAGAAAAGTTACTTGCTTACTCCTGATAGAGAAGCCTGGTTACTGTGTTGTCTTCAACATTTTTGTTTTTCTTAGCATTGTCTCTGTTCCTGATTGTTGCTCCTGCAAATCATATATCATGGCTAATCTTTTTTAGATTTATAATATGGAAGAAATCAGAAATTAATGGAGGCCAGCTCACAAATTGTGTGGGGAAAAAATGGGTTTTTTTTTTGATAACCAGAGGTAGATTCTCGCCTTATGCTCTCCCTCTGCTTTCTTGCTCACAGGTGGCACCTACCCCCTTCAGGCATGCCCCAGTCCAGTATTTTAATGGTTAATTGGAGGTGGAGTCTGGCAGGCTTTTCTGTTTGGACTGCCAAGAGCCGTAACAAGATAATGCCTTAGTTGTCAAACTTGCAGCTACATTTTTGACATTTTCTAAAAATCACTTTGGACAAAGATTATAAACAGAGCTTCAAAATCACTTTTATTTGAAAATTTAGGGTTTGTATTTATACTAAAGTTTGCCTACTAATCTGCTGATCTCTTCTCCCCTCCCAGAATAATCATGTGCATGGACAGCCATATACAGGCCCAGCAGCACATCACATGAACAACCCTCAGAGAACTGGCCAACGAGCACAAGAAAATTATGAAGGCAGTGAAGAAGTTTCCCCACCTCAGACTAAGGATCAGTGAAATGCACATACTTAACTGGTTCCATCAAGACTGTGCACCCAGGCCTTACAGTCCAACTTTTTTCTGTGTCTGGCTAATATTTAAAACTAGAAAAACTATTCCTAATCAACTTGGAGTGGAGAGTTTATTCACTGTCTTATCTGCAGAAATTTGCTGTCAATATATAACCCGCCTGCAGTGGAAAGTGTATAGTGTTTTGTAATAAATGGCCTGATGCTAATGTGTAAATGGCAAAGGTGTATATAGTATATTAATGTTTGACTGTTAATTCTTAAGCAAGAAACTTTTTTCTTGATGAGACTCACAGATCTACAAAAACTACAAAATTAATTTTCTTGTTTATACCCACTGCACTCTGCAACCAGTGTTGCCTGCCTTGTGGCAGTTGGATCAACTCCTTTACAAAAACAAAAAAATAAAACAACAGTGCAACAAAACAGCCCACTCATGTCAGCCACACCGATAGTTTCATGTTATAAATCTTTGCCACTGGAATCACTTTTACTATGAACGAAGGCTGGTAACCTTTAAATTATTTGGTTGATGTGGAAAATTGGTGATGTAACATTGTTTCTAGATCTTTTTTCATTGCCTTTTTATTCTGATATTAGGTTAATATCTTTGAAGCTATAGTTAATGCTGTAACATTTAGCATGGCTTCACACCAAGTTAGTGTAGCCAACAGAGGAAAAAATTACCATAATGACTGCAGTTGTCCTGAAGTGACAGCTGTATTGCTCAGAGCTTTTCCTTCTTATACCTAGAATATAAAATATAAAACGAGGAGAGAAATGTGACAGACAGTTTTCAGTTGCACATATATGTTCCTTTTAATGTTTGACAGTCTCTGGGTGGGACAAAGAATACATAAATATCGGTAATGGGAATTCTGAAAGATTTAAAACAAATATGCAAAAATGTGCTAGACCAGGAAGCTGGAGCATAATAGAAGACTGTATTTGGTGTGCTTGTTTTGTTTCTTTAGTAGAGCTTGTTAGGCGAAATCTTCTAAAACTTTCCTTCTGCTGGATCCCAGTGATGTGGAAGGCATCAGAATCCCACAGTACTTGGAGTACCTCTGCACCAAGATGTCTGGCTGATTTTTCTGCTCAGTCATAATTTTACTTGAAAATGAGAATTGTCCTAGCTCCTTTTCCATTATTCCAAAAATTTTAATGTTCAAAGCAGGGTCTAATTTAAAAAATATATTGGTTAATAAAATTGAAGTTTCAAATTTCAGAATAAACATTTGCTTAAAGATAAGGAACTCATCAGTTAATACTGTATTTAAAAGAGAATTGGTGACTTGAATGTGTGTAATTTTTTTGGAATCTGTCAAAAAAACAACAAATACCCCTGCAAACAGATACAGCCCACCCTATTCTATTTAAATACTTTGCTGTTTTATTTTATAGAAATTATTTTGCTGGATTCACAAATAGAATTTGATTTAAGAAGAAAATTTTGTCCTGTGGTGTTTTTGGATTTTTTGGTTACTTTTTTGTGGGTTTTTTTCTTCTTTTTTTTTCTTTAGGACTACATATGGAAAATTAATTCTGTGCATAGCCTGCATAGGCATGACACCAAATTCAGGATTTCTATCGCATTGGGTTTTTGTGCACAGAAATATTTGACCTTTGGCCCTTAACTAAAGACAGAAATAGAATGTTGACACTGTAAAAGTTTACTAACAATCAATCTTGTACTTTTTGTATGTTTTTATATACATGTATATTTAATGAGCACAAGCTTGGTTGTATTTTGTACAATTCAGTTAAGTGTAAAGGCTGTAGTTGGAACTGAACAAAGAAAGAAATAATTGAGCATTGCATTATTTTGTGATTAAAAGGGGCAGGTACATAAGATAAAGCTTTAGGTATCTTGCAGTAAGCATTCCATAGTCAATCTGTGCTTCTAGGCTTTCTTTAATATTAGGAAATTTTGATATCAGATATTTTGTCTTTATTTCAAGTATGTTTTGGTTTGGGTTTTGTGGAGCTGGGGGTCCAGGGCCTGGAGCATGCTAGGCAAGTGCTCTATGACTAAGCTACACTCCCAGCCTGAATTTGCTTAAGCAAAGGTTGTACAGTGTTTGCAGTTGCAACTGGAAGTCTTAACTTAAAAGTTCAGTTCAGTTAGAAGCTTCCTCAGCTAGTGAAGTGACTTAATTTGGACAAGTTTCTATTAATTATACCATCTTACCATCTGAAAGGTGGTTTTTACCTTTCTTGCGCCTTAAGAAAAGAAGGTATGCCATGTACTTAATTTTAAAACAGTGACTTCCTAGATAAGGGGAAAAAAAAACTTGACATTTTAAAAGGCTGTGAATTTTTCTCTTTGGAGGTGAATTCCCTTTGGTTGCTTTGAATTTACAAGCCTCATACTGCCAAGTGAGGGCTTGTGAATCCTGTTTCCCTCCATTTGAGTAAGTCTTGTGACCAGAGTGAGGGAGAGTGAACGGTTATTTTTGTTTGTTCGTGCAGATTTTCTATATATAACTCTTAGGCAAGCATTAATGTATAACCAGAAATTTTAAGATGCATGTTATTGTAAGAGCAATATAGTGGTGATTTTGAGGTCTTTTTCTGAACATAAATGGCACATTTTACATTTCAAATCTTAAAAGTGCCTGAATATTATTTAATTCTCCCTCAGCTTTTTGTTTTGTTTTGTTTTTGTTTTGAGCCATGTTTCCTACTTTAAATATTTGTTGCTGAATTACTAGTTTGCCTTTGGAAGAAAATATTCCCAGGTTTCTAAATGGCATGATTGCTCTATAGAAATTGATAGAATCTGTTAACGTAAAGACTAAAGATATTTTAGTTGTAAAACTGTGTGAACTAGGGCTTTGCCCTATTGGATCTAAGTATTTTGGTGTACAACTTGGTAAAAACCACATTGCTGCTGTTTCTAAGCTCTCCACCAACCAACCAAATTTTCGTGTTCAGCATCATAGAGGCAGAAATGAACCTAACCATATTTGGGGTTTTGTTTATCTTTCCTTGATTTTTTTTCTCTCAGTGATAATTTCCCAGCCTTGTGTCTTTAGCTAGTATGTATACAAAAGTAGAATTATTAAGATGTTTTCTATTTTTTTCATGATTAACTTTTATTAGTAATAATTCTAATCATTATACTGGTTAAAAAGATGAAGTTTTTTTTATTTCAATTACTTTTTTGAGGGAAACCAATGGGCTGAATATCCAGATATCTATTTCAGAATAGTTCCTCCAGGTTTTTATTAGGATTTTTTCCAGCTTACGTTCTCTCAACTATTTTACTTTGCTGAATTTTGCGGTTAATTTGGTGGATATATCCTGCCTTATTTAGAATTATAACTGGATAAGAAAATTGCCTTTTCATGATAAGTGCCCAGTTTTGGTCTCTAGTTTGAAGGTACCAGGACATACATACTACGATAAAGGAAAGACAACACCTCCTCTGCCCCAGCTTTTGTGTTACCAAGAAAAAACATTCAGTACTGGTTTTATCATAAGATTCAACCAGAATTGGTCCTATACCTACATGAGTGCTCCATGTTTGAAAATGAAGTTTTGGGTGTGATAAATCACTACAGAAGTGCTGAATGTATTAAGAACTTGCTACCGATTGTATTCATAACAATTATTTTGTGTTTGCAGAAATGTAGCTCTTCTCCAAATTTACAGGTGTAAGAAAAGGGGTAGGTGCACATTTTAAAGTCACATGAGTGCAAATTTTATTTTTGAAATCCAGATTCCAAAAAAGGAAATTTCACCACCCAAATCACACTTCTACTTCTTGGCCTTTTACAAGCCAACAGACTGACATAAAGATTGTCCACAGTTCCTAAGATTTAGCACATATACAAAAATAAAACTTTATAAATTAAATTTTGGTTTTTCCTTTTTATTTGTTCAGATAGGGTTTCTAGCATCCGAGGACTTTTGCGTGTGTGCTGGGGATGGAACCCAGAGCCTCAAATATGCAGAGCTGCACCACTAATACCTGAAAGGAATTTTTCTAAAGAATCATTTATAGATCAAAAGTGTTTTCATATCTAATCAGCTCAAAAATTGACTTGTGATCTGGTTACTAATTTAATCATTCCTTCTAAAGCATTAATAGTTGATAGGGTATTTTTTAGATGTGAGATGAAACAGGTCATATGTTACTTCTAATATATATCTGAAAAGTAACTTGTCATTCCAAGGAAATGAAGACTTCTGTAGAAACCTACTGGTGTTTCCCAAACAATGGGTTGCTTCAAGGATGGCTGGTAAAGACATCACACAATTTTTGTGACATTGAATTGTGCTGATGTATTTTTGTGTACACGTACTAGTCCTGGGATTTGAACTTGGCCTGGGCACTATCACTGAGTTCTTGCTCAAGGCTAGGTCTCTACCACTTGCTACAGCTCTACTTCCAGATTTTTTGGTAGTTTATTGGAGAGTCACTGCCCCAGGGCTGGCTCCAAACTGTGATCAGCTTCCTAAGTAGTACTACAGCATAAGCCACCAGTGCCCAGCCAGCTATAACTAGATTTTGGAATATTTGCATGTATATGCTATATGCATATACATGCAAATATGTGTTATATATAGTAGCTTGGGGATGGGACCCAAGGTAAACAGTTCACTTCCATTTAATATTCATACATGGCCTGTGGATCATTTTATACAGTATTGCTAGTAGTTCTGCTTTTTGTTTATTTGGTCAGTCATGGGGCTTAACCTCAGGGCATGGGTGCTGTCCCTGAGCTCTTTTGCTCAAGGCTGGCACCCAGCCACTTTGAGCCACAGGGCCACTTCCAGTTTTCTGGTGATCAATTGGAGATAAGTCTCATGGACTTTTCTGACTGCGCTGGCTTTAAACCATGATCCTCAGCTATCAGCCTCCTGGGTAGCTAAGATTACAGGCATGAGCCACCACCTCTGGACTATAGCCCTGCCTGCATTTTATGGGAGGTTCTTTGTTTTGGCAAGTGCTATATAGCTGGACTCCAGGGCCTAACACATGCTAAGAAAATAACACGAATTTCAGACCCATGATTAAAGCATTATCTTATTTTTTGCCAGTCCTGAGGCTTGAACTCAGCACCTGGGCACTGTCCCTGGGCCTCTCTCTGCTCAAAGCTAGCGCTCTACCACTTAAGCCACAGTGCCATTTCTGGCCTTTTCTGTTTATGTGGTACTGAGGAATCTAACCCAGGGTTTCATGCATGCTAGACAAGCACTCTACCACTAAGCCACATTCCCAGTCATAAAAGCATTTTTTTGGTTTTGGTCGGTCATGGGGCTTGAACTCTGGGCCTGGGCACTGTCCCTCAGCTCTTCATCTCAAGGCTACCACTTGAGCCACGGTGCCACTTTTTCTGTTTATGTGGTGCTGAGGAATCGAACCCAGGGCCTCATGCATACATGTCAAGCACTCTACCACTGAGCCACCTTCCCAGCCCCTAAAAGCATTTTAAAGATAACTCCATTGAAGCATACTTTTAAAACCAGGTTTTCTAACTCTGCTCCATTGACACTAGAGAAGAGCATTTTAGATAACACTTTCAGGAATATCAAAATGTGGGAAAGCAAGCTGGTAATGGTCCATGTCGTGGCAAACACCTTAACATTTGGAAATTGAAGGTTTTTATTGTGGTCTTTTCTCACATTGCTTATTTGCTTTCAGGGCACATAAGAAATTTTGTGTTTGTGTAGCTCCTAATGAAAACTGGTAAGTTTGCAATTTTAGGGAGAAAAGACGATGGAAATGAGCCTCAGATAAGTTATCAAGCTTAGTGAAATGTCTAGCCATCCACTAGAGTTCGTTTATAGTGTCGGAACCTCCAGTTCTGACCTATGTACTTACTATAGGAGACTACGCCTGTGTGGACCTTCTGGCCCTTAATGCTGTTCAACTGCCCTGGACTGAGCTGTATGTCAAAACACTCCCTGTGTTAGAAAATAAAGACACCACCAACTGGCTTCCTTGCCTGTCCTCTTCCCCTCTTCTCTTCCAAAAGGTGGAGCTACCTTGCAAGCAGGTACAACTGAATTCCTATTTTAGTTCAACTTTGTAGATGTACAAAATAGACACTATGAGCAGTAAAAAGTGTTTCTCCACAGAATCCTTCAGAGTAATTACTTGCTAGGGAAATGGAAATATAGTCTATCTTTTGTATGGGTACTGGAGCTTGAACTTAGGGCCTTGTGTTCTCAGCTTTTTCCCTTAAGGGTGGTGCTTTAACAGTTGAACCACATTACTACTTCTGGCTTTTTGATGGTTAATTGGAGATAAGAATCTCATGGACTATGCTGCCCAGGCTGGCTTCCAACCATGGTCCTCAGATTTAAGCTTCCTGAGTAGGATTACAATTATGAGCCACTAATGCCTAGCTGACATATATTTCTATGAGTTAGGGGGTACTGGGGCTTGAACTCAAGGCCTGGGTGCTGTCCCAAGGCTGGCACTATACCACTTGAGCCACAGCGCCACTTCTGACTTTTTGGTGGTTAATTGGAAATAAGAATCTCATGGCTGAAATATATTCTTATTGTGCCTCTTGCCATTGCTCAAGGTGAGTTAGTGCTACCACTTGAGCCACAGTGCCACTTCTAGTTTTCTGGTGGTTTATTGGAGACAGGAGTCTCACAGACTTAGCCAGGCATCAATGGCTCATGCCTGTAATCCTAGCTACTCAGGAGGCTGAGCGGTTCAAAGCCAGCCTGGGCAGGAAACTTCGTGAGATTCTTATTTCCAATAAACCACAAGAAAACTGGAAGTGAAGCTGTGGCTCAAAAGTGGTAGATTTCTATCGTGGAGCAAAAGAGTTCAGGGACAGCACCTAGGCCCAGAGTTCAAGCCCCATGACCAACAACAACAACAAAAATATCATTTGCCATTTATACTGCCACCATCTCAAATCTTATTTTTTTTTTCATCTCAAATCTTTCTCCACACCACCCATTGGAACACTGGGTACACATTTGGACTTTGGAAGTAAATACAAGTTTGGCTAGATATTAAATCTGGTCCTTTAGATGGGTTCAGGAAGAAGCATCTGGGCTGGGAATGTGACTTAGTGGTTTAGTGCTTGCCTAGCATGCATGAAGCCCTGAGTTCAATTCCTCAGTACCACATAAACAGAAAAAGTCGGAAGTGGCACTGTGGCTCAAGTGGTAGAAGTGCTAGCCTTGAGCAAAAGAAGCTCAGGAACAGTGTCCAGGCCTAAGTTCAAGCCCCAGGACTGGCAAAAAAAAAACTGTTTCATGAAGGAACAGAATTGCCCCTCTGAAATGTGACTACTGCCTACTCAAGTCTATGAAAGGGAAAGTTGCAGTGAAAGGTTAAAGTTTTGAGGCAGTGACCACTTGTTGCTTGTTTCTGTCTAGCAAAGCAACACGTGGTAGTAATCCAAACACCTGGTTGATTGTGTGCCTTTATAAGACCTGCAAATCCTTAGCTCGGGGCTCTCCTCCTGGGCTCTGCTGTGTTGGAGTGTAGGACGAGGCCCGAGCTGCAGCCCGTTTAAATAAAACAGCTGTAGAGTCTGACTCTCAGTGGTCTTGGTGGGGGTCCTGCTACCTTGGCATAACATATTAGTGGGGGCTCATCCGGGATCCCCCCCAAAGACCCCCGAGATCTCAGACTCCAAAGGTAATACAGAGCTGTCTTTGTTAATTTGTCTTGTCCTGTCATTTGTCTGTTTTACTTTCATTTTTCCTTGTGAGGACGGCCACTCCGATTCGTAAAGGGTTGTTGAAGCGGACGCACTTGCACGACAACCCTGGAGGAACTGGGAGACGTCCCAGATCCTCTAATGGGGCGGGGGGGCCCCCGCGGGGGTGTCCTTGGAATCCTGCCATGTGGGGCGAGGGAGGGGGTCTTTGGAACCCCGCCGTGTGAAGCTTTTTTTCGTAACTGTCAGGCCTGCACATGTTTTGTTTGTACTGTTTGTTGTTTTTTGGACTGTACAACTGACAGGACTGGAAACCATGGGCACCACTCCATCTAGCCCCCTAGACTTACAAAAAGAAACTAAGAAAGAGGAAAAGAAATTGTACGCCCCAGTTTTTCAGGGAGATAACTTGGAAGAAGAAATGTTTCCTCCCCCATCCTCCTCTTCCCAGGTTCCTTTTGCAGAACCTGAGAATGATCAAGAGGAGGAGGGCGCTATAGAACCAGGAGCTGAACCCTCGGCACCTGCCCTTAAAGTTTCTGAGGGGCCAGTCACTCAACGATGCCGTGGGATCAGCCCCCCTTCTAATGCAGCTGTTTTTCCCTTACGCGCCGCACCATAGGTCCTGTGGATGCGGATAGTCGACAGCAATTCCAATATTGGCCATTTTCTACCAGTGATCTATACAATTGGCGCACCCAAAATGCCCCCTTTTCTGAGAAACCCCATGATTTAATTTGTTTGCTTGAAACTATTCTCTTTACTCATCTTTACTTGGGATGACTGTAATCAGCTTTTACAGGTCTTTTTTTTTTTTTTTTACCACCGAAGAGAGACACCATATCCTAGAGGTGGCCTGGAAACATATCCCTGGCCCCACAGGAGCGCCCATCACGTATCCTGCCCTGATCGCTGCCTATTTTCCTGAGATCCAACCAACATGGGACTGCAATACGATTGAAGGTAGGGAGCAACTCCTCGTCTACTGCCAGGCTCTGTTGGCAGGTCTCAAGACGGCAGCTCACCAACCTACTAATATGGCCAAAGTTTATGATGTTAGATAGGGAGGAAGTGAAAGTCCGGCAGCATATCTTGAGCGGCTTTTAGTCAATATACCCCATATGATCTTGAGACTCAGGAGTTGGCTCAGATGATTATGTTTGCCTATATAAACCAAGCTGCACCAGACATAAAGCAAAAGTTGCAGGCTCTAGACAG